TGAGTGAATGAATGAGTGAGTGAATGAATGAGTGAGTGAATGAATGAATGAGTGAGTGAATGAATGAATGAATGCAAACGATGAGCGGAAAGTGATGTGGTGTTTCCCTCCGTCAGGCAGTCTGTGTGCTGCTCCTTTTGCCCGTCTTGGCCGAGCTCCAGGGTGTCGGGGACATCCGGGAGTACCTGGAGGAGGGCGCCAGTGCCTTTCTGCCGCTGGGCACAAAATTCACAAGGGCTGATGGTTGAACCATGTATACTTGGTTACTAGATGTTACTAGTAGCGATTCTCGTTCCTAGTAGTAAGGCCAGGAGCCACTAGTAGCGTCCTTGCTCCTAGTAGCAATGCCCTTTGTTACTAGTAGCTTCTAACAATGTTAAATCTTGGCAAGACCTCGGGTGGGCTGCACAAGAAGAAACTCTTGGATTGGATCATGTTGGATCCACAAAACCCCCGCCAAACATGGGACAATTTTGAATTTGCGGTCCTTGATCGTTTCGACCTGTGAGCAAGGATGCACAGCAGGACCACTGTAGCTGTAAGAAGTGGATTTCCCTACTGTGAGTCATCCACTCAGGTCGACGAAAAACGACGAAACACCGAGGTCTGCGCCGATCTGGCCCTGCTTCTACCTCGCCGTCAACCTCTTCTTCAACGTGAGTGTCCTGATCTTGTTGCGGACCACCTCCGCGGTCTCGGCACCTCGGCGAAGCTCCCAGAGTGTTTTCCGATCTTAGTTTTGCAAGGGAGGTTGGGAGGAGAATAGTCTACGCTCTAGTTTTGCAAGCAACATAGCTTCAGAATGCTTGAGATACAGGATGTCGTTTGGCGGTGAAAGAATGTCTTCAAGAATCTTCAAGGGCAGAGCGATAGGAATTTCCTGTGGCTCCGTTTATATAGTGGTTCCATAGTGGTTCCCTCATCATTTAGCAGCTGTTCATGAGGTTTCATGTCTTGTGTTCGCACTTCAGGTACTGGTTCATGCTTTCTGATTTAGTAATTTTAATATATCTGAACGTCAAATCTCTCTTCCCGCTGTTTGGCCTAAACTAGCCCAATTGATCCCTTCCAGGGAAGGATTATCAGCACGTCAGATATTTTCAGGCCTATTTGGGTATAGACAAAGGTGACCCTGGGGTCGTGACCTCTCGACCTCATAGGCTTCTCCTTGACCCATCCTTACACATCTCACACCGTGCATCCTACTGAAGCCTTATATCAACCAGACCGGTCATGAGACCGCTGAATCATCGCATTTTTGCACGAAGTGGCAGGTCTCCTTGGCCATGGCTTTGGCCGTGCCCATCACCGCTTTGGTCTTCGCCAGTTGGGATGTGCCCCTGGTGGGCCAAGGCCAACCGTTGGATAGGCAGGAGACACTGATGTCAAGATGTGATAATGTACTTGGCGATACTCTTGTAAAGCTTGTACCAGGGTGTAATGATTAATGCAATTGGATGTTCTGTACATACTGAGCTTGCACATTGTAGATTTTTGCAGAGTTTTGGCTTATGAGCTGCTTGGTCATTGTCAAGCACAAAGACTAATTACTACCTTCCAGCGATTGCCACACAAGAGACAGATCCACAAGCATATGCATGTGCGAGCAACGCACTACTATAAATTATCCGAAATCTACATGCTGTGACATACTTTTTGTGAAGCCATCCGCCTATATTGACAGAGTTGTTGTAGCAATGGCACATGGAAACTTGTCAGATTTGGTCTTCTTGGGCCTTCTGGTCATTGCGGGGCAGTGGTTCGCCTGTCCCCACACGCTTTTTCAGGATGTGGGACCCTTCAAGGCCCAATTTTCAACACCAACCCCGGACATGAGTGCTATGCTGAAGCTGGGAGGTGGGTTGCTCCTGACAATTGGGATGATGCTCTCAGGCGTTAGCTGGAATCCAATCAATGGCAAGATGGCCGGTTTTGCTGGAATAGTTGCCATGGGCTACATTGCTTACCATCTTTTCCAGCTGGATGGAATCTTCGTGCCGCGTCTCCTCTACGTGTATGCGTTCGTGGTCTTTCTGGGAGCTTTGCACATTTGTGCCTTCCCATCCAATCCAATGCCCAAAAAGACCAAAGAGACCAAGAACAACCACGGCAACTTTTCGGACGTCATTGCACTTAGCTTGATCGCTGTGGCTCTCTCATGGTATTTCTACCCCCAGCATCTTTATCAGGACTTGGGCCCTCTCAAGGCGCAATTTAGGAACGAAAGCGCGGATCTTTCAACACTACGTGGCTTCGTTGCACAAAGATCACAAAGGTAAGTGTTGATGTTCATTATTTCAACAGTTTTGAGTAGTGAGTAGTGCGAGCACTTTGCTGATTTGCAGATGTTTTGTCGGTGTTTGTTGAGAAGTGAGGCAAGTTTGTGGCCGGCTTGTTCCTCATCATCGCTCTGATATTTTCAGGCAGGTTGGTTCGGAGAATGTTGTGGAAAACGCTCAGGTCGGAGGAATGGAAGAGGCAGCAAAGGAGTTATGTTGCCCAGTAATTGCATGGTTCGGCTGGGAAAATTGAAGCATCGAAGTTCATCGAAGGCCCCAAATTTGAGTCCTCCAGCCAACTACTGTAGAGTTTAAACCATGTGGGCAGGCCCACCGACTTCAACTAGACGTGTGCTTCAATCGACTCCAATCCTTCACTCCCATGAGCTTTGTACCTAGCAGCGATGGCCTCCAACCTAATAGCAATGGCCTCCAACAGGTGTGAAATGGAATCCCATCAATGGGAAGATGGGTGGCATGGGTGGCTTTATTGCATCAGGCTACACTGCCTTTAGTGCCTTGGACTGCAACGATCTTTGAGTAACTGACACTGGAGGCCAAAGAATGCCTTTGAATGCAAACGGTTCGTGGTCACTACATCCTCTCGACATAATCTCAGTCTCCCATGTTGCCGGGGGATCCATGTTGCAGCTACCTCATCTTCACTTCCGAAATGGATATCCCCAAAGTGCCATGCCTCACATGTGCCAAAAAAGGCTTTTATATATATATGGCATATATATGTATGCCTATATAGTTAAATTACACCCTTTTTTGTGGAACCTGAGGTGTTTACAAGGCTGATGATGAGAAGTTTATCCCACAGCTCTTCTACGTGTACGCATCTCGCTCAAGTAAGAAGTTGTCGTGGTGAAATGTAGTTTGTTTCTGTTCGTTACAGAGTTGCTATCTCGATGCTGTTGGGTAAACAACGTTGCAATGTTTGATTTGATGGCAGCCCTTTTGGTCCGTTGATTCCTGACGGTCAGGCACTAGTCCTCTTCCTTGGCTCATTGCACATTTTTGCTTTTCCGTCCAATCCACCACTTGCGAAGCCTGACAAGAAGGATTAGTCCACACTTGCGAACGCGCATCAAGGGCGCTTCAGATGTTCCACACTTGTCTTTGTAGATGAGTGAGGGACATATTGAATGGTGTTCGTTGCACAGTAAGCCTTGACCGAGCAGGGCTTAGTTGGATGGAAAATGTAAAATAGTTCCCATTGGTTTGGGAGAGATTCCAATGGCTCACAAGTTCGCAGGACGTACAGATCTCGCTGTCCGCGGTCACAAAAGAAAGCATGCCGTTCACTGTGTGCATTGTTTCCTTGGTGCATCGACATGCAGGTTGCTTCCTGCAAACAGTGAATCATCAAGATGATCGAAAGTAGCAGCTAATCGTGGACATCTATATAATGGTGAAAAAATATTGGTTTGATTGATCAATTGATATAAGCATACATAAACTCTCCTGGATCTATCCGAAGTCGCGAAAGCTGAAAGAACGTTCACTGAAAGTCCGCCGACAGGTTCTTTGGCCTTGGATTGCTTTTGATCCTTGGTGGCTTGAGCTTGTACCATGGTTGGCTGAAAGGCAAGTTCAACTTGCTGAGAGTCGAGTCTGGGATTGAACTCTCGGGATAGTCAAACGAACGTGTCCTGAAGAACAACAGATTCAGCTTGAGGAGGTTGGCTGTGTTTGGTCTCCGAAGACAGTCTAAAACGTCCATTTCAAGGATTTGTCGACCAATGCGTGATGCTCTGTGAATTGGGAGAAGAATTAGTACTAGTAGCGTCCTCGTTCCTAGTAGAAATACCAGGAGCTATATACTAGTAGCTTCTTGCTACTCAGAATTGGTCCAGCTGCGAGTGCTTCTGTCGAGTCGAACATCCCTGGAAGCGCATGTGTGTGGTTCTGATTTCTAAACAACAAGTTTGCACACTATGGTTTCAAACGGCCCAACATGTTATTTTATGTCAGCCAGGCACAGCCAAGACATCCAAAGTCTGAGCCGGCTTCATCACAGGGCGGATCTCACCGATCGGATCTGCCTCCGTTTGACAAACTCTTATGTTTACTGCCTCAACATCAGTTGATGATGCATGAAGAAAGTTGGATCAAACGAGCAAACGAGCAAATCATGCTCATCAACGGTGATACAGTCAGACTCTTTCTTCGAGTCGGAGCCAGAACAGGCCGACAATGTCGCTGTCGAAAGCTGCTTCGAAAAGGAGTTCAATCAATAGCGATGCCAGGAGCCCCTAGTAGCGTCCTTGCTCCTAGTAGCGATGGCCCTTGCTCCTAGTAGCGATGGCCTTTGCTCCTAGTAGCGTCCTTGCTCCTAGTAGTACGGCCAGGAGCCCCTAGCAGCATTCTTGCTCCTAGTAGCGATGCTAGGAGCCCCTAGTTGCGTCCTTGCTCTATGGAATAGCCCAGTACGCTGGTGCACCCTTTGCTCACTTCATTGGACTGCGGACAACCTTGGAGCTGACTATGGGCCACCCAACTAAAGTTGACTTGAGGGGTTTGAAGAATGTAATGCCAAAACGTGTTCAGTTCAATGCCTCGTGACTCATGACTCATCATATCATGATCAACTCGTATCATTTGGAAAGTGGAATGAAAGGAGAAGGATTCGTGATGTCGCTTTAATCACTGTCAGATTCTTTTTGGAAGAGGGTCCACTAGTAAAACGAAGAGAAACCAAAAGGAGTTTCGAGTCCACCGAAACAAATCTCATTGTTCAGTTGTTGTTCAAGGACTGCCCCCCATGGATTCTTTTGGGGGGCATGTTTTTTTGGTTTTGCAAGAGAAACGTGAATGGCAACGTCCTTCAACTATAGACTATGAAGAAAGCATAAAACTGCTTGATGTGCTACGACAGATGTGTGCATGGATCAGGAGAATCATAGACCCACGAAAGCAATCTTGGAGAGCACAACTTGTCTTTTGATCATCCCACCCATTAAGCGATTTCACAGAATGGAAGAAGCTACAACCCAATCTTCAACCCAACCAACCTCGAACATCTACAAGGTGTCATGTACTGTCAAAAAGTGGTTTATATAGCATTGTGGACATTGTCAATGCACATGGACAGCATCAACTGCAGTGTTGCCAGGCAGCCATGGGCATTAAAGGTTTGTTTCCATACCTCGTGGAGGCTGCACCCAAGGCCTACAACACCTCAGAACTCAAGCGATACACTGGACGACGGCTCGCTGTGGATGCTTCCGGCTGGATGTACCAATTCCTGAGCATCGTGCGCACCGGAGCCGCCGCCGAGAATCTTCAGAACAACCAAGGTGCTGCCACGTCGCATTTGCAGGGCTTTGTGTTCCGAGCCTTGAAGCTTCTGGAGGCCGGGGTGCATCCGGTCTTCATCTTTGATGGCAAGCCTCCGGAGATGAAGACGGCAGTGAATCGAGCTCGCCGCAAGACACGCGAACACGCGGCCGAGGAGCATGCAGAGGCAGTGGCCACTGGCGCTAGCAGTGAAACAGTCTATAAGGCAGCAAGCCGATCTACAGTCGTGACCAAAGAACATAGTGAGCACACCAAAGAGCTCCTCCGTGCAATGGGCCTTCCAGTGGTGGAAGCTCCAGGAGAGGCGGAGGCGACATGTGCTCAACTCTGTAAGGAAGGCCATGTCTATGCTGCAGTGACAGAGGACATGGACGTTTTAACTTTTGGATCTCCTCGGCAGATCAAGAACCTCTTTGATGTGGAGGGCTCTAGGGCTCGTCAACCCAAACCTGCACATGAAATAGACTTGGAAAGGGTTTTGCAATGCTTGTCATACACTCAAGACCAATTTATTGAATTCAGCATTTTATGCGGCTGTGACTACCTGCCGCACTTGCCACGCATGGGTCCAAAAACAGCAGCACAACTGTTGAAGCGAGAGGGATCACTCAAGGCAGTGGTGAGAGCAGTTCAGGCAGGAAAAGGGCCCAAAGGCTGCCTTCTCCCTGATGAGTGGGACTGGGAAGCGGCCAAAAGGATTTTTCAACAAGGTCCCAAAGAACTTGGATCCTGTGAACCGAATTGCGCAGAAGAAGCGCCCAACTTTGATCGCATGCGGTCCCTGCTGGTGGAGAAGCATCAGTTTAACTCTTCCAGGGTTGAAAACATGCTGGATCGACTGCGCAAAGCCCGATCCCCGGGCGGTGCCGCCTCTAGCCGTGGAATCGAAAGCTTTTTCCAGGCACCTAAGAGGCCCCGCCTTTCACCGCCTGCGCCGCCAGCCATTTTGGCGAGTTCTGACCCTGTGGTGATCGATGATGAGAGCCAGGGCCTGGAGATCCTGGAACCCACTTGGAAGTGTCCCAAGTGCACCTTTGCCAATGATGTGCAGCGAAGCTCTTGTGAGATGTGTGAACATCCACAAGAAGCCAAGGCATGGCCATTGAAGACTGCTGTGCAGCCCATTGACTTGGATGACTGACAAAAAGATAAAAAAGCCACCCGAAACCGCTAATATACATTGTTCGCTTCGATGGCATCCTATCAAAATAGACAACTTCAGTGCGCGTGTTGCACTCCCACCACCCAACTCTTGTTTTGGCGGCGAAGCGCACTGATGCTCTGGCTTCTTTGAAGTCCAGGCCCCTTTGGCATCATTTTGATGCCTCACCCGGCCAGGGCGGCTGCGGGTGGGAAGGCTCAGAAACCTTCGGGCCAAAAGGACTTGGTCGTGCAAGACCTTCACAAAAGTAACGGTTATTTCTAACCTCCAACTTCAGTGCGCGTGTTGCACTCCCACCACCCAACTCTTGTTTTGGCGGCGAAGCGCACTGATGCTCTGGCTTCTTTGAAGTCCAGGCCCCTTTGGCATCATTTTGATGCCTCACCCGGCCCACCTCTTCATCTAAAGGTGGTCACATCTCCGACCGCGGCCATCTTCTTGGAGACTGCGCTGACCGAACCCCCATCGAAGAGGTAGCGTTGCACCGCAGAGGAGGACCACCTTCCCGCTCGCTTCACCAACTCAATGTCGGCAGTCGACTGGAACAAAGCTGATGCCCCACCAATCCTCAAAGAGTGGGACATGAACCTCCCTGGCGGCAAGCCCACTCCAACCGCTGCCTCCTGGAGGAAGTGCTGGATCTCGATCCTCTTGATGACCTGGCCATTGCTCCATCTGAACAGCGGCTTGGTGCTCTCGGCATGGCCTGGCAGAAACCGCATCGTCCAGACTTGCCTCATACGGTCCAGTGCTTCGACTGGGCAAAGGTGCTTCCTCCCCGTGGCCTGCAGCGTCTTGGTGTCCCCGAAGGCCAGCTGGTCGTTCTTGGTCTTCCGGAAGAAGAGGGAAATCTCGGTCGCCTCCCCCACCGGTTTCGCCACTCCTTGGTGAGAAAGGCGGATGTCACAGCCCCTCGTGATCATGCTCTCGTCCACTCCGTTCGATTCCCCGAACTCCTTGGCCCTCAGCATGAAGAACCACGCCAGCTCCAAGGCCGCCACGACCATCACTGCCTCCGCGTACGGAATTGAATGCCGGTCATTCACTAGCGGGTCGACCAGGTTCTCGCCCAACCATACTAACATCTCAGGCGTGACCCCCAAGCGCCGTGGCTTCCTGGTAGTCGATCTCCGGTCCAAGGCGTTGACGAGGATCCACACCCGGTGCATTCCATCCAAGGGGTCGCCCCTGCCACTCCTTTTGTGCACCATCTTCATCGCGAAGATGTGTTGACGGATGGTATTGGGCGAGGCGCCCAGCCATCCCAGGTAACCCACGTAGGCCAGCGCCCGGTTCTCGTTCTCAATCGGGTCCACATTGCGGTTGAGGAACTCATCTGGCCAGCCCTGTCTTCTAGCCCAAGCGCACCACTTCATCCATGCTCCGCCATAGGCCTTCTCCGTCGCGGCACTCTTGTCCCCAGTCATGTTCTCCTCCAGCCATTCATCGACCCTTTCACGAACAAAACGGGGCGAGACTCTTGGTGAGGTGAACAGCCTGGGCTCCCACCTTCTCGGCAACCTTGAGCGGGTCGGTCTTGGCTTTGGTCCGTCCGCCAGCATAGGAACCCTTGATCTCGTTGGCAAACTCCAGGGTGTAGGCATCGTCCTCCTCTTCCTCGTCCATGCATTGAGCCCACCACCACGCCTCCGACCACCTCCACAGCCTCCTCAGAGGTGGCCCCGTGCCGCCACCAGCCCTGCTGGTGTCGGCCTCATAGGACGGCGGGCTCCGCCTCAACTCTCCCCTCTTCCACCTTCTGAGCCACAGCAGGATCTGGGTGGCCTCTGCTCCGGTGGCGTCCGGCATCATCCCGGCCTTACCCGGGTTCAGTTCCCCAGCTTCACGGGCGATCAGCTCGCAGAGGATTTGGCCTCCCATGGTCACCAGGTTCGCGGCAGTTTGAATCCCCGTGGCCCGGACCCCTTCGATCACCGCAACCTCGGCAGGGATGTTGGCTGGTAGGTCTCGAAGCTGGCGCCCTTGTAGAACCCATAGTTCCTCCGGGTCAAGACGACGAACATGGCCTCCAGGTCCTCGGCGATCGTAGACATAGTAGCCCTGTAGACTGCTCCCGTCGTCTGACAACAGGGGCCACCGACCAGGGCCTCCAATCCCATGGATCACCTCACGTTCTTCGCCCCACCAGACATGACCTGCTGGTTGAGGTAGCATTCGATCTCTCGGGATGCCACTCTCCAGCTCCAAACGCAGCGGCTTGGTCCAACACAGTTCATGGTGCTCCTTTGGTTTCAGCAGTGAACTCATCGGTGCCGGCCCCATAGCTCTGACCAGAAACTCCTCCCATGCCTCAGGTAGAGCACCATGTGGGTTCACCACCAAGCACCGCCTCCTCCTCGTCAACGCCTCCCCATTCTCGGCGGTGATGAAGTCGACGATCCCATAGCCCCATCCCCGGCTCTCGCAGTGTCGCTGCCCTCGCTCCCAATCGACCTTCCCCGGTCCTTCGACCAGTCCCAAACGAGCTCCCTCGTGTTGAAGGTTGCGGAGGTACTGCTCCATGTGCTTCCCTTTGTAGTCCACTCCAAGCGTGGCGCACAAAAGCACCGGCCGGTCACCAACGTCTTCGATGGCCGCTCCTAGGGCTCCTCCCAAGGCCTCAAAATCTTTCAGCCACCTTCCCGAAGGGGTCCACTCCTTTACGGCGAAGGCTTTCCACGGAATCTCGAGCTCCCTTTGGATCTGTTTTGACACCCTTCTCTCACGGAGCTGAAGTTGCAGTGCACGATCACCTTCTTTCTCTGGGCCCCAAAGGAAGCATGCCCCATACCGGACCGAGTCCTCCAGAGCGCCGTGGATCGCCGCAGAGATGTCCAGCACCTGAAGGCCCTTCTCCTTCACGAAGCCCTCGAATTCCTCCTGGGTGCACCGCGTGATGAAGTCCGCGTGGACGTTGTGATAGGTCCGCCACCATCCGCTCACGACCGTGAAGTTGTACTTCATCTCCGCCAGGTTGAGGGCCCTGATGAGGATTCTTCCCCCTCGGGTGTTGCTCTTCCGGGATTGTAGCCAATTCTTGACGATGGTGTTGTCCCCGCCATAGGCCACTACTCCCCCCTTCCACTGGTCCCCAGCTGCACATGCGAAGGCAACAAAGGACAGCATCTCACCCAGGTGAATCACGAGGTCGGTCTCCTGGTCCCCAATCTCATGGTCTGACAGAGCCCGAGCAGCCCACGCTTTCAATGTCCCGGTGGGAAGGCGTGTCACCTGTCTGTTGGTCCAATCGATGGCTCCCACCATTGTAGGCGTAGCGTCGGATGACACCCAAATGACCTTCTCCCACTCTCCAGGCAAGCTTAATCTCTCCATAGTGGGAAGCATAGATCTCAAGCCGGTGGCAAAGGATTCCCATCGATCCGTCCGCGCACTCAGCCAGCGGCAGACCTCAAAAAGCTCCCATAGATCCTCCCATGCCCGGTCTGCCTCCCAGGCCTGGCTGCCTTCTCCACGTAGTCGGGGATTCACCTTCTGATGCCCATCACGGCCCGCAAGAAACTTGTCCGCCCGCCGCCTTGAGCTCGTTCACCAGACCCTTCACGATGGCTGCCCATCCGGTCAAGATGCCTCTGAACTGTTGTAGCTGCTTCAGGGTGACCTCCTTGGAGCCGTAGTCAAAGCAGCTGTCAGCTAGAAGGACCGCCCCTTTCTGAATGCGTCGCTCTGGAAGCGTAGCAGTCTCGCCCTCCGTGCACATGATCACCCCCCAGACCGTTTGTGCGGTCTTGAAGGCTCCTTCCACCTTGTCCTTCTCCTCATTCACCGCCTTGTTCCCCAGGAGCGTCCTGATGCCGTGCTCAAACACCTCCGCGCTCACCCACGGCCTCAGTCCCACCCAGGGCTCCACCAACACTCCGTCGTCGACCAGGACCTTGCAATCGAAACCATGGCCCATGTCTCTCCGTGGAACCGACGGGCGGTGAGCTCGATGGAATTCCTCCGTGCTACGCCCCCATACAGTCCATTCTCCCGGGCTACCACTGAACCCGAAGCTGGAGACCAAGTAGACCACCGTGATGTCCCCGCCCGGAATGCCCTCCAAGTGAATATCTTCGTCTGTGGCGTTCGGAAAGGCCTTCCTCGGGTTCCACGGCAGCTCCCCGGCGAACAACTCTACATCCTCCGGGGCGACCCACAGAAGCCTAAAAGCCCCAGAAATGTCCTTCTTGGACAGGAGGACCGGCAAGCCCGGGCATCGACCCTTAGCCCATAGGATGCGCTTGGCGATCTGCGAGTGGGTAGGTTGAAGGGCCGGCGGGTGAAGGAACTTGTTCGTCCCATGGTTGATGGTCCTCTGGTCGTGGACCACTCTCACCTCCTCCGACACAGAGCGATCTGGCTTGAGCTTCTGCACCGTCTCAAAAGGTGAGGCCATCGTCCCGCTCAGCTGAGGCATCATGGCACTGACTACCAACACCCTCTGCTTTCCCACATCCTTGGCGACCTGGGCAAAGACCTTGTCAACGTGGCGTCGTGCATTGGGGTGAAGCTTCGCAAAGGCTCTGGTTCGAAGCCCTTGGAACCTGGCCGCCATGCCATATCGTCGAACATCCCGAAGATATTCCAGGAGGTGGGGGTGTAGCACACGGTCCAGCCCCGGGTCATCCACCTGGGCTAGGTTCATCATTCCGGCCTTCTCCCTTACCTCCCAGAGGCTTTCAGCAGCTTGGCGCACTCCACCCGCGACCTCAACCAGCTTGTTGCCCGCCCGTAGCACGGCTGCCCAACCCATAGGAGTGTTGTCAAAGTCCTGCTCAATCGCCTTGACATACTCCTCCGCTGCCTGCCGTGCTGCTGTAGTTGGTGCTTGGTAGGCCGAACCTGGGCCATCACGTGCCTCGCTCCCTGCGTAGGCCGTCGGGCCTGACTCCACTTGGACACTCACCTCGGGCTCCGGTCCGTCATCTTCTCCCGGGTCAGGTCCCTCATCTTCGTCTGCGCCCCACTCCCAGTCGTCCTCACACGGGATCGCCTCGTCGTCGACAACCGGCATCTCCTGGATGGTGAAGATGGTAACGCCCGTCCACTTGCCATAGCCTGGATCAGCCCCTCCGGCAGCCCGCCAATCATCCGTGATGACAACCTGGTTCGCCCCTTCTCGCAGATGGGTGACCCTCTCGTTGGTTAGGTGGGCAAGCGGTGTAGGGAGACCAATCTCCGACGGGACGTAAAGGGTTCATCGTGAACTCTCCACAGTTGCCTGCGGGACGGGTTGTACTGCCACCTTTGAGGCGAGCCCCAGTGGTCGCCCGGTCCGGTTGGGCTGGTGCGGTGAAAGTCCACACTGGTGGAGGGGCCCATTGGATCCGCCCAGACTCCCTGCAGGGTCTCCCCTTCTCCTTGGTCAGGATCTCCTAGAGCTGGCTCGGCGCCTCGAGAGGAGGTGCCTTTGCCCTTTCCTTTCTCACATGCCAAGCGATATCGCTCCGCCCTCGACAGGCCATACGGGTATTCCACCCTGGTGGACTTCCTCCCGCCTCCCTCGACATCTGAGTTGGGCTCCGAAGTGGATGAGGTCGAACTTCCTCCTCTAGCGAAGCTGAGCCAGCCGCCCTTGCCCTTTCCCGCGCCTGGTCTGGAACTCCCTCGCGGGGATCTTTCTCGGGCTCCAGCTGGAGCGGATGAGCTTCTCATTGGTCTCCACGGCATAGGGATCACCCGGTCCTTTGCTGAGATCACGGCCCTTGGTTGCCGTATCGGATTGGGAACCCCCCCTTCAGGGAACCCGAGCACCTCCAGTAACCCGTCTCCGTGGCGGCTCGCCGAGTGGTTCCCGAAGCCCATCGATTCCAACAAGCCATCCCCTTTGCCATCTCCATCGGGTTGATCGTTTCGTTGGACGCCTCCACCATCTCCGTCATGTCCTTCGTCATCGTCTCCGGGTAGGTCTCCCGGTAGATCATCCTCACCATCTCCGCCAGCCTCTTCACGGTCACCAGGTAGTAGGGCACCTCCATCTTCTCCATCGTCTCCGCCTCGATCCCGAAGACATCTTGTGGCGTCAAAGCCAGACCCCCCCCCCACGAAGCTTGGAGCACCGCCACCACGACTGACACAAAGTTCTGGGCGTACACCCCGGCTTCAGTACAGCGAGTGACGGTTTGGCCGTCGCGACAACCCTTCAGCCCGATGTGCCGGTGCGAGGTTGACAGGCCCGGACAGACTCGTCGGAGCGCCCGCCGTAACGGTGGATGCAGTGGGAAGACCACCCTGGTCTTGTGCGCATAGAAATGATCTGGCTCATCAGGGGGGCCAAGACCAAAGGCGCACATGGGCAGGTCAACGTACTCTACGTCCGGCCGGTTGAGGATGCGCTTCCAGCACGGCAGGTCCCATTGCTTGGGGTACCGTCCACTGACCCCACTGGACTCGACGAGAGGGAAGGCACCAGAATCCAACGAAGCCTCGAAGAGCTCAGCAGCGTGCGCACTCAAAATGTTGCCCATTGCCTCAGTCGCTGCCAATGGTCCCTGTCCAGTGCCTTCGGGACACTCGAAGGTGCGAGTCCCGCCATTCTTCTGCTGCCAGTCACAGTAGCTCGCGCATGGGGCCGCAATCCAATGCACATTGGAAGGCCCGGTACGCACCTCTGCCAGAAATTTGTCGTGGACATCCTTTCGACTCAAGTCAAAGTGTGCCCTGTAGCCCTGCTTGTCATGGGGATGCTCGTAGACCTCGACCGGCTCCATGATCGGGCTCGTCTTGCTCCACTCCGCAGAGATGCCACCTTTCCCGGCAAAGAACTCCCTTAGCACCAGCTGCCCCGGTTCATGTGGCTGGCCTGCACTCCGAACCGCCCGAATCACATTGTGGTCATGGTGGATGTCCATGGAGCCTCCAGCGGTGGCGGCCGTGTAGGACAAGCAGCTATGCCGTGGTGCGTTGAGCGACTCCCCAGCTTTGCGGCCTGCTTTGCACAACCTGCAGAAAATCTTGCCTGGTGCGGTGGGAGGTTGATCATGACGGGCATGCCAAAAGAACGTAAACCCCATCGCAGGTGTGGTTTGGGGGTCCTCTCTGGCCAGGAAGCGCTCCAGGTCATAGCCGTCCGGCGGTTCCAAAAGGACCATGTGCCCCTTCCAAATCAGTGCGAAGGTCGTCCAACCCCCATCTATCCAGTTGGACCCAATGATGCACTCCACGACCAAGCCCCCTCGGTAGTCCGCCCTAAAAACCACCAATCGGCAGTCCGCAAGGGCTTCCAAAGAGCGAAAGTCCTTCTCGTGGTGAGCTGTAGTGAGGTCATGGATGTAGGTCCTGACTTCGTGTTCCACAGCTGCAACCATCTCCTCCGCCTCGCCGATGGTGTTGGCCGCGTCCACGGCTAGCCGAGTCTGCTCTAGCCTCAGGCTTTGTGCTCTGGTCTGAACCTGCTCCACTGACGGCCGTCGGCTCTTCTCCTTCCACTCAACCATAGCCGCAATGGTGATGGTCACGCACTGCCGCCGCTCAATGGACACCTCCAGTAGGTGAAGAAGTGCCGCCAGGTCCTCCGTCATCATGACGTCCTCCTGATAGTCCCACAGCCGCCAGGTGGTGCCGTCGAGCTCGACGCTTCCTTGCCCTGGTTGCCCCTCTGCCCACAGGGTGTCTCGAACCACCAGTCGAGCCGAGCCTGCTTTAGTTCCTTCCCGTTGCTCCAATAGTTCAGCCGCTTCCCGTGCAAGCTCTCCCATCCCGTAGGTCGCCATTTCCTGAAGAAGTGAAGAGAGTTCGACTCCGGGTTCCCTAGCAACTCTAGCGGCGGCCCATGCATACAAGTCATCAGTGGCTCCCTCCAGTGCCTGGAGAGCAGGGGACTTTCCTAGCTCCTGGGCTTTCTGGACCAGGTGCTTTGCCTCCTGCGGCGCCGAAGTCCCATCCCGACCACGATGAGGTGGAAGATCACGATGAACATCTCGATGCCACGCATAGTCCGGCCCTTGAATCACATCCTTGAGGTCCTCGCCCTTGGTGTAGTCGACTTCGAACTCCTCGGGGACATCCCAAAATCGCACCTTTGGCCCTTCTCCTCCAGCTCGGCCATCTTCCGTTACCTCCTGCTCTCCAGATTCTGTCCCGACAGCTGCCGGGGTGCTCCCAGCTTTCGCTCGCTTCTTTCCGTCCTGGATCTTGTCGGTCTTCTCGACCCGCATCTTGGACCGGATGTCTTTGATCTTGGTGGTCACGGTATCCGGGCTCTCGAGCTTCATCCGCTTCAGTCCACCTCTTTTGAGGAGTTGCATTTGCACACACGGGTCCAGATTCTCGAAAGAGCCGCGAAGTCCTTCATGGGAGCGCTGACAACCTGTCGTCTGGCAGCCAATGTGGCACAGGTTTCCCCAGCAGAGCAACTTGCCGTGGCGGTCCAAAGGGGCCCGATCTTTGGCCATTCCGACCTCCTCCGGAGTCAGCTTGGGCCCCCACAACGACTTGAGAGTGGGCTTGGACTGCGAACTCAAGCTTCCTGCACTCTCCCCTGCTCCTCCAGCTGGTGCTGCCGGGTTGCGATCCTTCCGGGCACCGCCCTGCCAAGTGAGATTCCATAATAAGAGGCGGTCTTGCTTCCTCTCGATCCTTGGGAGGACCTCGGTCTGGAACCATGAGTCGGGCTTCTCGATGTCGAAGGTCGTGGGCATCACCAGCCATGCCTGTCCATCTGGTCCGGGAAGTAGCGCATGGAACTTGAGCTCGGTAAGGCTGATCGTTTCCCTGCCAATCTCCTTCTTGAGGCTCCGAAGCACGTCCTTGAGCTCCTCCAGAAATCGCCAGTGAATCTCCTCCCAGATGTCGATGACTATGGCCAGCGGCCACCGGTGAGGATGGGACAGATGCCACTCCGACAAGAGGTTGAGGGCGTTGTTCCGTACGGCTCTCCATTCCTCCCCATAAACCAGGCACCACACATCTGTCTGGCGTCGTACTCGGGCGGTCCACTCATCAAACCTGGACGGAGGAGGAGGTCTTTGGTCGGTGTTCTTCATCACCTTGGCCTCAGAAGCAAACTGGTCGAGCTCAGCGTCCGTGTAGGAAAGGAAGTCCGCGGCGCTCAGGCCATACTTCTCCTGAATGCCCCAGTACGGCCCTGCAATTCCAACTGCCAGCCGTGTTGACATCCGTTGGCGGAAGCCTGCTGCTCGAAGCTTGGTCGAGGCTCCTATCTGAGCGGACAGCAATGAGTTTGCTAGTGCCTGACCGTGCTCTTCCGCACCAACACGCACTTGATACTGGCCACACGCCCGAAGCAAGAAGACCAGTTCTTCTGATTGTTTGTTGAGCCCCCGGATTGTACCGGGGACCTGACCTCCTGCTCCTTCGGTTTGTTGACGAACCAAAGAAGCCAATTCTGCTGTTTGATGCTGGATCGCTTTGGCAATTTGGACAACGGGTTCTGCAGTGGTTCCACTGTCGGTCCTGGCTCCTGCCCTGATGTCCGGCCGATAGATCCTGGGGGGTGCCACTCGTAGCCCGTCACCTCGCTTCTCTTCCACCTGAGGCATCTGCTGACTCCGTTCTGCCAAACCAGGGGGGGTGCAGGCTCAGACGTAGGTCTTGTCCTGGATGCCGAGGTCCTCAAAGACGAAGCTAAAGGCAGAGATGTAGCTCTATCCCCATCCTTCTCCGGAGTATCCCCAGGAGACGCGGCTTGACTGCCACCTTCCACCATACTCCAGTCGCACATCCCTCCCCTTCTCCATGAGGCCTTCCCACCTTAGCCAGCTCCTTCCGCCACGTGGTCAAGAAACGTGACAGCCCTCTCTGCCCTTGCGCCTGCTCATTCTCCGCCTCCCCAACCAGTTGTCGAAGAAGATCACCGGGTAGTAGCAGGCGGTCAGCTCCCAGCTTTTTGCGTGCTTGGTCTTCACGGAGTCCATCAGCCTTTCCGGCCGCAAAGATCTCAAAGAACTCTTCCAGCAAGCTGCCGGCACCTTCTGAACCTGGCGACTCGAGCATCCCCATGCGGGATAGATTTCGACTGATGCTTGATCCTTTCGGAGTATGTCCAGGCGAGCGTGTTGTTCCCCTCCGACGTGGCGTTCTCTCTTTGATCTCGGGCTCCTCACATTCACGAGCCCTTCCCAACAGCTTTCTCGCACGACCATGCCTATCCTCGTCACCATGCGCCTCCTCGTTGTCGACCCCGTTCTCCTCATCATCGTTCTCCCCCTCGTCGATGTCCTCCACCGCTCGTGTACGTGACCTCGATCTGGATCGGCGCGCTGAGGTAGAAGAGGGTCTCGTCGGTGTCAGGCTTGAAGGTTCATGTTCTGAACACCACACCACACCATGCTGCAGCTTGTTCCCAAACCTTTTGCAAAAGGTCACACTACACTTGTCGGGATACCGTCGGGTCAGGTATTGGGTAGCATGATCCCCGCACAATGCAACAGCCCCGCACTGAGTGGGGACATCATCCTGGAGGAGTTGCCCAAAATGTTGAGCACGCACACTGCACGGCCGATTGGCCAGGCACTGCATAGTTCCATCAGGGCCCCGCCATGTGACCAGGCTGCCACAGCAAATAAGGTGCTCCTCCTCTTGCTCCGATTCGGAACCCAACTCCCGAAGGCGATGCATCAACTGTGAGGTGCCGTCGGTCAAGGGGGACCCTTTCAACCAGGCCCAGAAGTCGTGGGTCACCTTGCGCGCACCCTCACGGGCTTGGGCCATCTGGAATCTTTCCGGGTCATTCTTTCGAACTAACCCGTGTGCAGGCCTCATTTCGGCATAAGTGCACCTCCTCGACGTCCCGCAGCCGCCTCACCAAAGCCGGAGATCCGCGGATCGTGTTGCACTCCACAGGGACATAGAGGCCGTGGGTCTTGATGGACTGGGAGTCCATGCCGATGGCGAAGACAGCAGCATCTTCCCCTCTCTTCACCACAATGTACTTGGGCTGCTCACTGGACCTCTTGAATGCTCGAAGCTGGGAGGTTTCAGGTGTCCGCCCAGTGGCAGGGCCCAAGAACTCTGCTTCAGAGGCTTCTGGAGAGCCTCCTGTAACTCTTTGAAACCAGAACGCAAAGGCCCCAACTCCTCGTAGGACTTTGCGAAGTAGCCATGCCATCGCCATGCATGCCCCGATCAGGAGCGACACAATGGGGTAGCACACGGCCCACACATAGTGAGCGACCAAGCAGAGCCCCAGCACCACCAGAACCTGGAGGAGCCGGCGGCATCCGGTCCGAACCTTAGTCCAAGCGCTGCCGAAGAGTGCCCACCCGATCATGCCGAAGAGGGTGTCCACGACCATCCACAGCGCCACATCCCAGCTTCCCCAGGTCGAGGCTCCTTCCAACTCCCGACCCCAGCTCGCCAGGCCGGCAAGCCACTCTTCCGTGGCATGGAGCCTTCGCTCCGCACCCGGGAGCCACTCCCGAAGATGCTGCCGCCAACCAGCCTGCTCCTCCAGGGGCTCCACCTCCGGTGGCCCCTCTGGGCCAGCCCACCAACCATGGCTTACGGCTGTGGTCGAGATGACCACCAGCCTGAGCCACCACATGTGGCCGTGCCGACCCAAAAGGCTCAGAAACCTTCGGGCCAAAAGGACTTGGTCGTGCAAGACCTTCACAAAAGTAACGGTTATTTCTAACCTCCAACAAATCATGCGGGCAGATGTTTTTTATTGATGTGAAGCAGGACCTTGCAACTTTTGAGAGCGACCAGCGGGCAGCTGGCGTTTGTTTTGCATTCGAATGCATCAAGTGCTCCTTTCAATATGATACTTTTGACTTTTCTGTGTTTATACTGTGCATCTTAATTTGTGGCTGGCTTGTTTCTTTGAGTATATATAGTCCGATGATCACTGTGGACGGCCGGATGGCCTAAGATATTACGGACCCACAGAGCACGCCAACATGCCAGGCCCGCGCAGTCTTCCCAGATCATTCATAGCGAGGCGTTGTTGCAAACTTCAAAGTTTGGTCAAAATCGAAATTTCATTGGAATAGCAGGATTTGGTGGATGTTCTCTTCTACGGGGCCGGTTGGTGCTACAGATCCTTGCAATGGAATTGACCGATCCGATGTGAGTTGTGGGGTCAATGGCTCTCCTGAATTACATTATATTGTCATTTGTGTTTTTTCCAGTCAGAGTGTGCCGGAGGAACTGCGAAGAAATGTCTCGGATCATGTCTCGCATGCTCTTGTTGGGGACCTCTTGTCACCTTAGCTTGGTGGTTGGATAGAGACCTTGGGATGGTATCCATCAGGTGCGTCACCATGGAAGCGACGGAAGCGACCGCGTCACCATGGGCGCCGAGGCGCATCTGCTTCTCGCGAACTCTACGTTGATTTCAATAGTTTCTACATGTCGCTACTAGTAACAAGAAGGACTAGGTGGACGCCATCACTAATAGGTTGGAGGCCATCGCTACAAACAAGAAGCAACAAGGGAGGATGCTAATCTTCAAGTTACAATGGGACCACAACGAAGTGTTGGCCCCAACGTTGGTGCGTCCTCTCGTTCCCGAGGAGCTGATAGCGACCATCAGACGGGAGGAGCCGATTCATCGCTTTACCGAGCACATGCTCAAACGAGGTTTGCATGTTAATGAACAAGAGTGTTCATTGCGTGGTTGTGGAGTTCAATCAACCCTGCTACAGTGAGGATGCCAGACTCACTGCAACAGAGCCGAACTACTAGGTCGTGATCCTACCGTCCTGTTATCCTTTGTCTCCTGTCCTTACTATGTCCTACTAGACGAATTGATACCCTGCAGAATCTCCTTCAGATCAAAACGCCTTCGAGGAGTTCGGCTTTGAGGGTGATCAGCTCACCGGAGGCGCCTTGCAGGCGTTGTGCCCCGTCGCGGCGGTTGGCGAGTCCGCCGTCGAACGGAGGGATGGTCAGAAAAACCGAACGGGGAGAGTAATACATGGTAATACCGCAAGGCCTGGTACAATTCCGGTCAACACCAAGGCACATCTTGGGTTTCACAAGAGGTTCCAATACATGTCATGCCATTTCTTTGGTTGCATATGTAGCACCCGATTGTTTGCTTTCAGACATGGAATGACATGGATATGTTTCGTAGCACTGCTGCTTAAGGTCTCTGAAACCAAAGCAAAACTCCAAAGCAATCGTGCCCAAATCTGAACACTCCCAGCCTTTGCTGCATGAGCGCTGTCGATGCCGCAGCCACCCCCACGCTATTCAAGCATATGCAGGCTGCATGGATGTTGCTTTTCGTTGCACCGGCAGGTGAAACAAAATGCACGTTTGGCACGCGCTTTGAAGCGCTTAGCAGGAGAGCTGCACGAACCTCAGAGTCGCTTGCTTTCTCAACAAGCAGACCTGACATTATCCATGTAGCAGTGAACCAACTTACTTGTTTTTATATTTCTAGTTGCAAAATGGTTCAAAGCAAAGCCAACCAGAGCTACTGATGTTGCGAGGTATGGAAGCGATGTACACTGGCAATTGGAATTGCTGCAGTCCCATTGGCTGCACTGAGGATGGCAAGACAAACAGGGTTACACAATGCGTAGGTGAGGCTGCATCCAGCAACCATAAACAGTAGACCATCAGCAGACTCCACTGAAATGATTGGATGCATATCAGTTTCCAAACTGGAGTTTTCATGATTTGACAGTAGTATCAACACCAGCAATACCAGTCTAAGGAATGCTGACGATAACACGTACAAGGACACCGTTTCAGACCAAACAACTTTTGGAAGTTATGAGAGCGCAATAGAGTGCGCATATATCTATAGTATACAATGATGTTTCTATACATATATCAGTGTCGTCTAGTGCTCCTTGTCTTCCGATTTTAATTGTAGTGCCGTTCTTCCTGGTCACCTCAAAACAGCTAGTCAGGAGCGTGAAGTAGGTCAAGTAGTGTGATCAATGAGACGATCCGCAACTCTGACAACACGCAACAGGGCATAGGTATCAAAAAAAAAGAGCATCAAAAAAAAAAAAAACAGGATCAAAAAAAAACGAATCAAAAAAAAATATTCCTTGATAGGCCTCTTCTGCTGCTCTCCTGGCCTTGTGGTTTGTGGTCTGCGGGTCCTCTGGTAATGTGGTCCCTTGGTCCTTTGGTCCCTTGGTCCACTGGTCCTTTGGTCCCCTGGTCCCTTGGTCCTTTAGTCCACTGGTCCCCTAGTCCTCCGGTCTCCTGGTCCTTTGGTCCGCTGGTCCCCTGGTATCCTAGTCCTTCTGTCTCCTGGTCCGCTGGTCTTTTGCTCTCCTACGGCGCTCGTCTGTCGATCTCCTGGTCCCCTGCTTGCGCAAATAGAGGCTTGATTGCTTTCTACTAGAGGCAGCTCCCTGGGAAGAAAGTAGGTACCCAACGATAAGGTTGCCGTCCAGTCATTGAGTAGCCCTACTCGAAAAGTGGTTCACCAGTGGAAATAGCTCCCTACTAGGAGGGAGCTCCTGGGGAGGTACACTCTCCTCTACTACCCCAACCATCCTCAGTGGGCTAGAATTTTTTTTTTTTTGATTACCTTTCTATTTTTTTATTGATCCCCGTTGAATATTTTTTTGATTCTATGTTTATTTTTATTTTGATCCCTTACCCACGCAACAGCTCCGTTGGATAGCAATCCCAACATGGCAGGACAACACTATTCCTACAGCTCAGTTCCTCTTGCGGCCGAACAATGGAGGAGAGGCGAGGAACATAATATGCTTTCTTCGTGGCACCATCACCTTATGTTCATCCCAATTTTGAAGCAAGATCCCGCCTTCCATGAAACTAGCGAAACTAGGGTACCTTACAGTGAGTAACGTGACTCCGCCAGCAGACTTCGAAGTATCAACTAGTGACTCTTGTAACATAACCCTTTGACACCACTAAGCAACCACAGCAACAGGTGAAACCTCCGCTCGAACATCGTCCCAGGTTCTCTTCCGTTGCAACGAGATGGGTTTCCGAGAAGCGCAGCATCCCAGCTTCGCTGCGGGTGTGCTTCGGGTGTTTCGCTTGGGTGTCGAGGTTTGTTTAGCTTCGATGGCATCGGGAGGGTTCATAATGCCGTGGTGTTTTCTAGGATTTGCACCTTGTCTTGCCTTGGAAAGCATTGCGACAAACTGCAACAGCTTGAGGTTCCCCGTCATTGGGGCAGGAGAAAATCGCAAACCTCCAAAAAAACAAAAGGAGAAAATAATGGCACTGATGCACTGAGCAGAGTGTATTCTTGGCAGTCTTCAGCTGCTCATTAGGCTGACATCCGTGCCATTTGCGACATCGGCAACTCTTCCAAGGCCGGTCTTGATTGATGCAGATGGACCGATGGACATGGACAGTAACCAGAAGCTACTAGGGGCTCCTGGCCCTACTACTAGGAGCCTTACTACGGCCTACAGTGCCTACAGAATTCTTTGCTCTTCATGATTTGCTGCTGTGAGTCACGTGTCACGTGTCTTTCCTCGCCAGGTGGGTGTCGCCAAGTATGGTCCGGGCGGCCGTCCGGCACCCAGTGACACCGGTGAAAGGCCGGTTCGATGGTCCGGTGCCGGTGCCGGGTTCGCAAGTCACGGTGCTTTGCCAACTCAGGAGTCGTGGCCACTGGTGAGAAGGGTTTGGGCTTCAAGGCGGAAAACACGAGCTTTGGGTCGGCTTTGGATTTATTCATCCTCACAAAATTGGAAGACGAGCTTTAATGCTTACAGTGGATGCCTGGGTACATGACTGGCCACTCATGATGGAAGGTTGTGTCATCCTGGAGGAGAGGTATTGCTGATGTCCTGCATCCCTCGTAGGCGGTGTTTGCGCTCACTGATCGGCCGAAGCTCTTTTCTGGGCCATACAGGTTGGAATTTGCCCTGACCTTGGCAGATTGCATAGAGCTTCTGTGGAAAAACTTCGGTGGACGTGTCGAAAATTGTTCCATCAGCATGGATTGCAGTAGCTTATACAGCGCGATGCTCCAAGGATGCTACACATCCCAGCGGCATTGGATACGTTCTTCCTCGCTGGCTCGAAGAGAAGGAGGATGAACTGCTCAGGCCTCCGGCTAGAGAAAGCAATCTGAAAGATGTATCATGAAGTGCCATGGAAGGGTGATAGTAAGGAATTTGGAATGAATTGAGGGTGCATTCCAGCAACATCGTACCTTTCGAATGGCTCTATTGAAGAAGAGTGGTTGGAATGACTTGGAGCCCTTGTGGATGAGGTTGGGCCATAGTAAGGCTTTGGCCACACGGCTAGGCCTGCCTGGGGTTCACTCTTGCGGCTACCTCTTCGGAGCGAACTACAACCTCGACGTGAGGATTCAAATCTCGGTCCTTTGACACTGTGCCAATTTGTTGTTACTTGACAAATTATTGTTACTAGTAGTAAGAATTGCTAGGAGCCCCTAGTAGCGATGCCCTTGCTCCTAGTAGCTTCTTGTTCCTAGTAGTAAGGCCAGGAGCCCTGTTCGTAGCGTCCTTGCTCCTAGTAGCGATGCCCTTTGTTCCTAGTAGCAATTGGCACGCCGCAAGCCTTGGCAAGGAGGATCTCCCCAGAACTCAACCGCCAGGAGCTCTTTCGCCGCTTGGCCGAAGGCCTGCCGCCCTCATTGCTGCTCTTCATAAAGCGTTTGCGTGAGGCCGGTTGAGCACCTCCGTTGTTGGACGAATTGGTTCGACGGAAATGCGGTCTTCAATGACT